AATCATGAAATCTCTTTTCTCCTAATCTATTTACTCTTTGCAGTTTCTTTCTAATGTCTGCAGCCGATTGGTTTACAAAACTCATGATTACAGCTGCTTTACTATCAGGAGCCTCTGGATTCATGGGGGTATAAGTGTGGTATGCCTCCATGATCTGTTCTAAAAAGGCAGCTGGAGACTCATCCCTTTCCTGCTATAGATTCCCTACCTTGGTCAAATTGGTGGGCTTCCTAGCAGCCATTCGGAAACCCCCCATTAGAGTCTGGCAGTAGACCCGGAGCCTCTCCTTACCTTCTGCCGTGTTGAAATCCCATTCAGGCCTGGTTAAGGGAAAAGAAACATCTATTTGGGCCTGGTTGGTGGTTGGGTTCCCGTCCACTCCTGTAACCACTTTCCGGGCCTCATTGAGGATTCTCTCTCTCTCCTCCGTTGTGAACAGGACCTGCAAAAGCTGCTGGCAGTCGTCCCATGTGGGCTGGTGGGTGAAAAGCACAGAGTCTAATAGGTCAATGAGCCCTGCTGGCTTCTTGGGGCACTTGGGGCTGTGCCTTCCAGTTGTAAAGGTCACTAGTGGCGAAAGGCCAGTAGTGATGGGGCTGATTGCCGTCCGCATCCGGGGGCCCTGCGGCTCGTAAGGGCAGGGTCTTGATAGTAGAATCAGGGGCTGTGACGGACAGCTCCCTCTGAGCCCTTTGTCTAGTGAGGGCCCCGGCCGCTTCTGGAACTCTGCCCGCTTCCCGCGGCGGGGCAGGATTGAATCTCTCCGGCATCCTAGGGAGCTGATACAGGGGAGGAAAAATTAACTCTTCTCCAATTCCTGCCTGCAAAACCGGGTAGAGGGGAGCTGGAGCTGACAGCAGGGTGGCTTTCTTCTTCTCCTTCTTCTTTTCCACTTTCTACAAGGCAAGAATGGGTTCCGGCTCCAGAGGGCGCAGGGCTAGGAAGGGCTTGAGCCAAGAGGGCGGGTCCTCCACGAGGGCCTGCCAAGTAATAATGTAAGGGAGTTGATTGGGATGACCCCCCTTCGGCCAGGAGACGACTTCTCTGACCCGGCGGATGGTGGGGAGATTGAGAGTCCCCTCTGGCAGCCACCCGACATTGAGATCCGGCCATTCACTGGAACAGAAAGTTTGCCAACGGCCCTTTCGCACCTCTACACTTTAGCCCTTCCCTTAACCTCTTTGAGATGATCAACCATAATACTTAAAGGAGTAGGTTAAGGGAAAAGAAACATCTATTTGGGCCTGGTTGGTGGTTGGGTTCCCGTCCACGCCTGTAACCACTTTCCGGGCCTCATTGAGGATTCTCTCTCTCTCCTCCGTTGTGAACAGGACCTGCAAAAGCTGCTGGCAGTCGTCCCATGTGGGCTGGTGGGTGAAAAGCACAGAGTCTAATAGGTCAATGAGCCCTGCTGGCTTCTTGGAGAACTTAGGGTTCTGTGCCTTCCAGTTGTAAAGGTCACTAGTGGCGAAAGGCCAGTAGTGATGGGGCTGATTGCCGTCCGCATCCGGGGGCCCTGCGGCTCGTAAGGGCAGGGTCTTGATAGTAGAATCAGGGGCTGTGACGGACAGCTCCCTCTGAGCCCTTTGTCTAGTGAGGGCCCCGGCCGCTTCTGGAACTCTGCCCGCTTCCCGCGGCGGGGCAGGATTGAATCTCTCCGGCATCCTAGGGAGCTGATACAGGGGAGGAAAAATTAACTCTTCTCCAATTCCTGCCTGCAAAACCGGGTAGAGGGGAGCTGGAGCTGACAGCAGGGTGGCTTTCTTCTTCTCCTTCTTCTTTTCCACTTTCTACAAGGCAAGAATGGGTTCCGGCTCCAGAGGGCGCAGGGCTAGGAAGGGCTTGAGCCAAGAGGGCGGGTCCTCCACGAGGGCCTGCCAAGTAATAATGTAAGGGAGTTGATTGGGATGACCCCCCTTCGGCCAGGAGACGACTTCTCTGACCCGGCGGATGGTGGGGAGATTGAGAGTCCCCTCTGGCAGCCACCCGACATTGAGATCCGGCCATTCACTGGAACAGAAAGTTTGCCAACGGCCCTTTCGCACCTCTACACTTTAGCCCTTCCCTTAACCTCTTTGAGATGATCAACCATAATACTTAAAGGAGTAGTTTGGGTCTGTCCCGTAACGTCTGTCCAGTAAGTCCACAAGATTAGACAGAAAAACACAGAAAACAGATAAACAAAGACACTCAAGAACAGCCTTCCGACCCCACGGAAACAAAACCGAAAGCTAGATGATGGCCGTACGCCAACTGGCGGGAGCGAGCCACCTCGTCTCAGATTTTCGAGGGGAACCCACACCCCTCGTGAGGGGTTTCCGCGCCCCTCCAGATGGAGGATCGGAGCCTCCTCCGACTCCTCCTGCTCGTGGTCCCCCAGTGTGTCCACCTAGACCGCTTCAGGTACTACAGATTGCAGAAACGAGCTTGCACAGAACACACAACGACACAGACACCTACTGCGGTCAGTCAGACTCTCTGGATTGGGGTCCCTCGTGGTTTTTGGGGATCTCGGACAAGCCCCCAAAAGTTGTGCTCAGATTTCGGAGTCCCCAAATATTGACTACCAGGGAGCCACATCCGATGTAAAAGCAAAGAGTCTTTATTCAAGCCTGGGCTTGGCTCCCCCAGCCTCCTTACCAACGCAGCCGTGAGATGAGAGAGCACGAGCCCCAGGAGAACAAAGGCTATATAGGGCTAGTCATTTAGGTGGGCTTAGGTAAGTGACGTGGATTACAGAAATTGGTCACTTTAGTCAGGGTTTTTCAGCAGGGTCTTACAGCACAATGGTCAGGAAGTGACCAATACATTCTGAGATTTGAGCCATACCCACTATTTCCTGATTGGTCAACAGTGGCACATAGGGAACATCCTATGGTATAGCCCTATTAGGACCTTAGCTGCCTTCCTGGAGCTTCATTGGCCCACTCAGGCGGTGGTTGGGATCAGGCTGAAGACCCAGCTCTAAAGTATGGAAATAGTTCTGCTTTGTTCTTTCAGGCTGCAGACATCTTTAAAAAATTTATTGATTAGAGAGAGAGAGAGAGAGAGAGAGAGAAAAACAGTGAGTTGTTGTTCCACCTATGGATGCACTCATTGGTTGATTCTTGTCTGTGCCCTGACCAGGGATCCAACCCCCAACTTTGGTGTGTGGGGACCATGCTCTGACCAACTGAGCTGCCTGGCCAGGGCCTGGGGAGTTGTTTGGTTGTCACAAGGGGGTGACAACTGCCAGCATCTAGTAGGTGGAAGCCAGGGAGGCGGTTAACCATCCCGCAATGCACAGGCCAGCTCCCACCACAAAGGAAGTTCTGGTCGTCTGGCCAGCTACATGTCTCAGTGGCTGAGGGTCGACCTATGAACCAGGAGATCAGGGTTTGATTCCCTATCAGGGTACATACCCGGGTTGCCAGCTCCATCCCCAGTAGGGGGCGTGCGGGAGGCAGCTGATCTCTGATTCTCTCTCATCACTGATGTTTCTCTCTCTCTCTCCCTTCCTCTCTGAAATCAATAAAAATATTTTTTTAAAAAAAAAGAATGTTAGGTCTAAGTATCCAAGTGCCAAGATCCAGAAACTCTGCCTCACAGCCTTGTTTTTCCTCCTGCCTCCTGCTGGAAGGCCTTTCCCTCCAGGCTTCCCTTTAAATGCCCTCCTTCCTTAACAAGCCAGCTCAGATGCCCCGCCTCCTGGGAGGCAGGCCCCCAGTGATCCCCACCCCTACCTACCTCCCAGGCTCTAAGAATCCCTCTGGGGAGTCCCCGAAATGCCCATCACAGGGGATAATTGCAATAGTATGAATCAAAGACTAGTCTCTTCCATTGTTTTCATTGTCCCTCCTTGTACTTTACTTGAATGTCTTTATAACAACTCTGATGGAATTCTGGCTTCAGGGATGACAAGGGTCCCTCTTATTTGTTTTATTTTTGGTTGTTTTTTGTTTTGTTTTGTTGGTGTGTGTGTATTTTAAATATATTTTATTGATTTTTTACAGAGAGGAAGGGAGAGCGATAGAGAGTTAGAAACATCGATGAGAGAGAAACATCTATCAGCTGCTTCCTCACACTCCATACTGGGGATGTGCCTACAACTAAGGTACATGCCCTTGACTGGAATTGAACCTGGGACCCTTCAGTCCACAGGCTGACGCTCTATCCTCTGAGCCAAACTGGTCAGGGTGGTGTGTTGTTTTTTTAATGTACTTTTAATGATTCTAGAGAGGAAGGGAGAAGGAGAGAGAGAGAGAAACATCAATGATGAGAGAGAGTCATGGATCAGCTGCCTCCTGCATGCCCCACACTGGGGATCGAGCCTGAAACCTGGGCATCGAGCCCAAAACCTGGGCATCTGCCCTGACTGGGAATGGAACTGTGACCTCCTGGTTCTTAGGTCGGCCCTCAACCCCTGAGCCACACCAAATGGGCAATCTATTTGTTTTTGTTTCTACTGGAGCCTAAATGTGCTTTCACCTACAGTAGGAGCATAATAAACATCTGTTGAGCGAGTGATATTGTGTACCTTAATATGTCCTCAGATATGGTTACTCCTTCCAGTAATTTTCTTAAAGGACTGAGTCCAAAAAAAATCCAACAGGCCTAGCTAGAGTGACTCAGTGGTTGAAGTGGACTGTTGAACCAGGAGGTCTGGGTTCAATTCCCAGTCAGGGCACATGCCCAGGTTGGGGGCTCCATCCCCAGTGTGGGGCATGCAGGAGGCAGCTGATTCATGGTTTCTCTCATCATTGATGTTTCTCTCTCCCTCTCCCTTCCTCTCTGAGACCAATAAAAATACATTTAAAAAACAAAGAAAAAACAAATACAAAACAGGCTGAATCTGAGAGTGTTTCTTTGTGTGTGTGTGTGTGTGTGTGTGTGTGTGAGAGAGAGAGAGAGAGAGAGAGAGAGAGAGAGAGAGAGAATTTGTTTCAGATACTGTGATCACAAATCGTATATTATAATTATTTGTCTTTATTTCTGCAGATAATTAGGGAAAAAATAAATGACATTGAAGGCACGAAACTAGATGACCACTTTCTTGACTTAGAAAGGGTAAGAGCATTTTAATGTCAATTGTGTGAAGAATGTGTCTCATCACATTATCTCACTCCTATGTGGAGTCTAAGTAACAAAATAAACTGATGATCAGAGTGGATGCAGAGACAGGGAAGCATGGAACAGAATGTGGAACCTCGGAGGCAAGGCAGGGGAGGGTGGGTGGTGGGAGGTAATCAGCCAAGGACCTTGTATGTGTCTGTGCATGGCCCAGGGACACAGACAATGGGGTGGTGAGGGCCTGGGTCGGGAGGCAGTGGTGGGTTGGAGGGGTGCAATGGGGGAAAAAGGGGACATATGTAATACTTTCAACAATAATGAATTCTTTTAAAAAAGAGAGAAAGAAATCTGGTGGGAAAAATTTTTAAAAAAAGAAACAAATTTTGACTGTAGTTGTGACACGCCGATCCTTGGAAAAGAGTGGAGTCTAGGATGCTCATACACAGGAGTGCATCCTGAAACCCAAAAGGCAGTTTATTCCCAGGTCTCAGTCCAAATGATGACTCTTGATTATGAAGGATCCTGGATACGGCTTGCTGGTTTCCTCTAGTGGACAAAACTCAGAATGTTCGAAAGATGGGCAGTTTTTTTTCCATCTAATACTAGAGGCCTGGTACACAAAATCTGTGCACAAGTAGGGTCCCAAGGCCTGGCCGGTGATCAGGACCAATGTGTGGGGCGACTGGCAGGGTGATCAGGGGGCCCTTGCTGGCACCCACCTTGGGTGGCCTGGGGACAGCTACTGGGTTGAGCATCTGCCCCCTGGTGGTCAGTGCGTGTCATAGTGACCGGTCATTCTGCTGGTTGTTCTGAAAATTCAGTAAATTTGCATATTAGGCTTTATTTTATAGGATATATATTTTTATTGACTTCCGAGGGGAAGGGAGAAGGAGATAGAAACATGAATGATAAAATAGAATCATGGATTGGCTGCCTCCTGCATGCCCCTCACTGAGGATCAAGCCCACAACCCTGGCATGTGCCCTGACCGAGAATCAAACTGTGACCTCCTGGTTCATGGGCCAGTCGATACCAAACACAGGCACATTGGCTGGACAAGATGGGCAGTCTTGAAAAAGGACTATCCTCAGGCTCCTGTTTTCCTCCCCTCCATACACTCAGAGCAGGTAGGAGGGAGTGGGGCCATGGAAGGGGTGGTGTTACATTTTCGTGTCTTGAATCAAAGATCAAGCATTGGCATATTTTGTAGTAAGTGACAAATGATCATTTCTGTTGGATAAAGTTTCATTGCTAATCACTATGAAGCTATATATAAATACACACACACACACACACACACACATATACAGAGAGAAGACTACATATATATATATGTGTGTGTGTGTGTGTGTGTGTGTTCCCTTCCTCTGAAATCAATAAAAATATATATATGTATATATATTTTTTTAAATGTGTGTTTTTTTTAATCCTCAGCTGAGGATATGTTTTATTGATTTTAGAGAGAAAGAAAGAAAGAGAGTAAGAGAGAAACATCAACGTGAGAGAGAAACATCTCACTGCCTCCCATATGCACCCTAAGGTCACAGGGATTGAACCTGTGACCTTTCGGTGTCCAGGATGACCCTGCAAACCACTGAGCCACCGGCCAGGGCATGTCAGGACCCTTAACAGAAATGATTGTGATGTTGTCCCTGGTCCCCTGTTTGGAGCATCCCTGGGGCCCCCAGGAATCGCCAAGGTCCTTTGTTTCCTTGCCTTTGTCACCGTCGAAAATCATGTCTGTGTTTTCCTGTGAATTCACCTTCCTGTGAATTCACCGTTTGTCACTTAACAACATTTTATGTGTTTTTTTTTTTTTTTAGAAAATAGATATCACCAATAAAGCTGTTACAGAAATTCTTTTGAAAGCCACAGAATACATTCAGCCCAATCCAGGTAACATGGGACAATTTCTGGAACTGTCCTATGGCCCATTCACGGTGACCCACACTGACCACCCACGTCAGCTGGGCCCTCCCTCAATGTGATCTAGAAACAATGCCCTAAGGGTTTCAATCATGAAATGTGGTTTTGGGTGTGTTTTTTAAAAAATATCTTTTTATTGGAGAAACCAAGATGGCAGCATAGGTAAACACTGGAGATTGCTGCCTCACACAACCACTTCCAAAACACAACTAAAAGATGGAACGGACATCATCCAGAACCACAGGAAGGCTGGCTGAATGGAAATTCTACAACTAGAAGGAAAGAGAAAAGCATACCGAGACTCAGAGGAGGTGCAGTGTGGAAGTAAAATACAAAGATGCGGAGGTGCATACAGAGAGGGCTGGCGGCTGAGGACAAGATTATCTTTTTCAATTGGGAGTGAGTCTCAAGCTCTGAGCTCCAATTCTGGGTGAGCCTCTGGGGACCCAGACTCATACAGGAGAAGTGGGACTGTCTGGCATCGGTCAGAACTCGAGGGCAGCTTTCTCTCGGAGGCGCTCACAGCGATTGCTGGGGCCTCTGAGGGCAGGACTGAGAGCAGCCATAACTGCTCACTCCGCCCGCCCTGTTGATCCCCTGGGACCCTGCCCCACCCAAGCCGTGCATGAAGACTTTTGCATATGAAAGGCCCAGCCCTTTGTAATCTGAAAATTACTTAACACACTGCAGCTGGCCTTAGGCCCCTGGGCAACTTGCATTTCTTTACAGCTGGCTTCTGCAGGGTAGCCTCAGGCAGAGGCTAGATTAGCACCTCCTTAGATCCTCGAGCCAGTGTACCCAGTGGTCAGAGTGCGACCATCCAATTACAACTCCTCAGATCCATTAGGGACACACTTGGGGCAGACTCAGTGAGCACCAAAGCCCCACTGAAGCAAGTCTTGCCCCAGAGGGTGTCTTCAGCACAGAAGTTCTCCCACCGTAGACACAGCTGATTCTCACAGCCAATTGGCCTGAAGGTCAATTCCTCCCAGTGTTACCTACAACAATCAAGGCTTAACTACAACCAGACTGTGCGCAAAGCCCACAAGGGGGTGCACCAAGAATGTCTACCTCAGGTAATTGGGGAAGCTGAGCCACTGGGCCCTATAGGACACTTAGCACAGAAAGCCACTCTATCGACACAGCGAAGCATAAAAAAAATGCAGAGACAAAGAAATAGGACACAAGTGACAGAAATGGAGGAAAGCAAACTACTGGATATAGAGTTCAAAACCACACTTTTAAGGTTTTTCAAGAATTTTCTAGAGACCACCGATAAACTTAATGAGACCCTCAAGAAATCTAGTGTGACCCTCGATGTTGTGATAAAGGACCAACTAGAAATTAAGCATATACTGACTGGAATAAAGAGTATTATACAGACTCCCAACAGCAGGCCAGAGGATCGCAAGATTCGTCAAAGATTTGAAATACGAGGAAACAAAAACCACCCAACCGGAAAAGCTAACTGAAAAAAGAATCCAAAAATACGAAGATAGTGTAAGGAGCCTCTGGGACATCTTCAAGCATACCAACATCTGAATTATAGGGGTGCCAGAAGAAGAGAGAGAGCAAGATATTGAAAACCTATTTGAAGAAATAATGACAGAAAACTCCCCCTACCTGGTGAAAGAAATAGACTTACAAGTCCAGGAAGCACAGAGAACCCCAAACAAAAGGAATCCAAAGAGGACCACACCAAGACACATCATAATTAAAATACCAAGAGCAAAAGAATCTTAAAAGCAGCAAGAGAAAGAAACTCAGTTACCTGTCAGTTGGTTTTTCAACAGAAACTATGCAGGCCAGAAGGGAGTGGCGAGAAATATTCAAAGACATGAATACCAGAAACTCCTCTTTCAGTCAGAGCTAGAGGCGGGGCAGGGTGAGAGGAAAGAGCAGTCATCGGGCACACCCTGGCTGTGGGAGGTGTTTGCAAACACTCGGAATTCCGTGAACCTGCAGGGCCCTCCGCCCCAGAACCGCAGACTGTGAGTCTGTAAAGTGAGGAGAAGACAGATTCTCACTCCAGGGCGGTCAGGGAGTGAGTCTCCAGGGACAGTGTGCTCTGAGCACAGGAGGGGAGAAAAGGTCCATCCAGGTATCTCGGGGGCAGTAAGCCAATTCCCAACATGCCCTGTTCTGGACCTCCTGGAGACTCTCTTCTCTGTGCTGCCTCCAGTGAGTCCCACTCCTCTGAGTTTTAATTCTGCTAGTGTTCAGTGTCTAGAGAGAAGGTTCTTTTTAAAAAAAAATTTTTTTATTAATTTCAGAGAGGAAGGGAACAGGAGAGAGAGAGATAGAAACATCAATGATAAGAGAGGATCATTGATTGGTTGCCTCCTGCATGCCCCCCACTGGGTTTCGAGCCCACAACCTTGGCATGTGCCCTGACCAGGAATCAAACCGTGACCTCCTGGTTGACAGGTTGACACTCAATCCCTGAGCCACACCAGCTGGGCCCGAAATTCGGTTTTTTGATGTCTACTCTCCAGCGACTCTGTGATTGCCTGGGCTGATGAGTGCAGAGTGGATAATCCTGGGACCCGTTGGGAGGGCTCCTGGGCCAGCAGCTGGGCACTGCTCAGCAAAGACATGTAGGAGACCCTTCAGAAACCTACTCAGTGTTTTGTAAATGCTTGCTGCTTACTTAGTTATTTCCACCTTTTTTACTTACCTTTGTTGTTGTTAATCCTCACCCAAGGGTAGCTTTCCATTCATTTTTAGAGAGAGTGGAAGGGAGAGGGGGAGACAGAGAGAAACATTGATGTGAGAGAAACACATCGATGGGTTGCCTCCTGCACATGCCCCGTCCAGGGCCGAGGAACCTGCAACCAAGGTTTGTGCCCTTGACCAGAATCGAACCCGGGACCCTGCAGTCTGCAGGCTGACACTGTATCCACTGAGCCAGACTGGCTAGGGCTCATTTACTTTTTAAAATATATTTTTATTGATTTCAGAGAGGAAGGGAGAGGAAGAGAGAGATAGAAACATCAATGATGAGAGAGAATCATGGATCGGCTGCCTCCTGCATGCCCCACCTGGGAACCTGCCCACAACCTCGACATGTCCCCTGACCCCAATTGAACTAGGGACCCTTCAGGCCAATGCCCTATCCACTGAGACATACAGGCTAGGTATAAATTAATTTTGAGAGATAGAGAGAGAGAGAGAGAGAGAGAGGAAGAGCAAGAGAGAGCGAGGTCCTGATATAGGTTGGTTGCAAGGTGTGCACAATTTCCATTTCCCACGAGACTTCATCCAATCCGTAGGCACCTACCTGGTTGACAAACCTGACAATCATGGGAAAGACTAAATAGGTCACTGGGGCCCTTTGGCACCTCGGGTCTCTGACATGTTGCCGAGGGTGCCCTTGATCTTGCCGACTGCATTTGTTGCATGCTCTGTGCCTGTCCCTCTGCCTTGTCCCTTGAAGGAATTACAAATGACCCTGTCTTGAAGCATGCAGAGCGAAGCTGGGAATGCTGAGCCCGATGTTGAAGATCCACAATCAGAGGAAGGCCTCAGAGTGCCTGCAGCCAGAGGGCCTGCTGGGCGACTGCATGCTCAAGTACGGCCAGGAGCTGGGCGAGGACTCCACCTTCGGTGAGTGCACAGGGCCCAGAGGGTGGGACACAGCCTGTATCGCCTATAGGTTATACACGAAGCCTTTCTTTTTTCTTTTTGGATTGATTTCAGAGAGGAAAGGAGAGGGAGAGAGAAACATCAATGATAAGAATCGTGGATCGGTCGCCTCTTGTGTGCCCCCTTATTGGGGATCCTGGGCATGTGCCCTGACCACTCATCAAACCGTGACCTCCTGGTTCATAGGTCGACGCTCAACCATTGAGCCATGTAGGCTGGCCAGGAGATTTTGTTTGTTTGTTTGTTTTTGTTAATTCTCACCTGAGGATATTTTTCCCATTGATTTTTAAGGAGAGTGGAAGAGAGAGGGAAAGACAGAAACTTCGATGTGAGAGAAACACATCGATTGGTTGACTCCTTCATGGCCAGGTCCCTGCCTGAGAAGTGTGCAACCCAGGTACTTGCCCTTGACCGGAATCGAACCTGGGACTCTGGTCCGAAGGCCAACGCTCTACACACTGAACAACACCCACTGAACAACACCGGCTACGGCCGGGAGATGTTTTAAAGAGAATCTTCAACCTCATTGTGCACAGCTTTGAGGTCACCCTCTTGCAAATTTATGTGGATTGGCTGTTGCCCAGGTACTGGGGGTTATTCAGGAAGAGCTACCCTTCGCTGTCCACACTCAGCATGGCTGCCCACCCTGCTGGGAGCTACCCATGTGACACTGCCAGGCTTCTTCCATACCAGGGAGGATCAGGTCGCCTTGCCCTTGGAAGGATCCAGGGTGTGACCCAGGAGGACCTGGCAGCAAAAGCTGAGATGAGATGTTCATTCATTCCTATTGTCATCTTCATTGTTGGTGCTTAGCCCCGAGGAGGACTCAATCCTTTTATTGTTTACAAAGAGGGACTTTTTTCTGCAGCTTCTAAAAAACCCTAGCGGTTCTCAACCTGTGGGTCGCGACCGTCGGAGAACATATAGCATATCAGATATTTACATTACGATTCATAACAGTAGCAACGAAAATAATTTTATGGTTGGGGGTCACCATAACATGAGGAAATGTATTAAAGTATCGCAGCATTAGGAAGGTTGAGAACCACTGCTAGGACCAGTTGACAAAAACACAATGTGGTTTGTTTTTTTACAAAAATTGATCTTTATCTCCATCTAGTGGCCAGATTGGAAAGTGCCTCGGCCTGTCAGCTGCCAGGTGAGTTTGATGTAGAAAAGGAGTAGAGAAGAAATGTAGAAAGTTTTTATTTTTAGCCCGGCTAGCGAGGCTCAGTTGTTGAGTTTCTTTTTTTTTCACTTTTTTACAAGAAAAAATCTTTTAAATATAACAATGTTACATCCAATAAACAGTATTTCAAGAGAAACAATCTTTTTTTTAAAATATATTTTATTGATTTTTTACAGAGAGGAAGGGAGAGGGATAGAGAGCCAGAAACATCGATGAGAGAGAAACATCGATCAGCTGTCTCCTGCACACCCCCCACTGGGGATGTGCCTGCAAACAAGGTACATGCACTTGACCCGAATCGAACCTGGGTGGCAGAGGGCAGGCCCAATCCCTAGGTGCAGCCCCTGGTTGGGCTCAGAGCAGGGCTGATTGGGGAGTTGGGGTGCTGCCCCCTGTCATGTCCAGAGCAGGGC